TTTCTCAACTAGAAAAAATATTAGAAGCAAAAATTACTACGTGCCTCAAAGATACAGGGAAAAAAAATCAATAGCTAACAATACATGTGAACCAAAGGATAACAGAGAACTAGAAGCACGTGTAATGCCATTGGATTAATATAATAACAATAAACAAGAGGCATATGCAATACAAGCACATAGAATTTTGCTCTGTAGAAACTAGAAAGTTAAATCTTTGTATGTCATAATATTATGAATAAGGCTCCATTTAGCATTATTACGAAGCTGGCTCCAAACTGGACAACTTTCTGATTGGTTTCTTTTTTGCATTATTGTGTTGAAATTCATTTTTTGAGTTTTAAAAATAAAAAAAAATTGCCAAATTTTTTTGAATTCATTTTCAAAGTTTTGATATTTTTAAGAATCCAAAATTTATGAACTCTGAAATTCTGTAAACATTCCCTGATAAGAGCTTTTATATGAAATTTGTTAAGGATGGTTTTGAGAAGTGATTACTGTAAGTAAAGCACTCTACGTGATTCTCAATTATTGCTTTTAGAGTCCAGAACCAAATGAATTTTTAAAATAGTACTATGCAGATCTTTACTAGTTTGGAATTGTATTCTGTCTTTTACTTCAATTTTCAATTTTCACTTTTTGGCTTTTTAGATGGTTTAAGATTTCAGGGAGAAGAAAAGGGGCAAGAGAGAGAGAGGTGGGTTGGGGGGGGGAACATGAACTTTGAAGGAGTTTCATATTGCTTTCTTTATCAGCCAAAAATAATTTTTGAGAATTCTAAGAAACTTTTGTTGTTCTTTAAAAACAAGCAAGCTTCTTTAATTGTTCTGAAGACAAATTTTTGAAGAATTTGTCAAACAAATTTAATTATCAATTTGTATTTTCTCTTTCCTGAAAATGGAAGAATGTTTAGAAGCAATACCAGACAAGCATTTTTAAGATGGATTGTGGATATATGGCATCCATGCCACCTATCAAAGTCTCACCATGTGCAAGAGTCCTTGCAACTTCTCTCCCTTTTTTTCCATGAGTTAAATTTTTAAATTTTCAATATACTTGCATTCCTACGTTTATACCTATACCTATATGCTTATATTTCTCTATGTTATGATTTTAAGTTGTTTCATAGGTAAAGCTAATAATATTTAACAATATTAGTTTCTGCTTATACCTCAAACTAATGTTTCCTCCTCTGTCATGGAAGCTTTTCTGGAAAAAAAATACCTTTGCCGCCATCTTAAGTGGTGAGATAGCTGCTGAGGTTCCTGTAACTGCGTCAAATTAAGATGAGCCACCGTTAAATCAACCCATCTATCCTTTTTAGGAGAAAAAATTATCCGTTCATTTCATGATGTTGATTGAGGGTTACAACTTGAGATGTGCCTTGGCCTTGGCTCTTGGTTGTCTAACTGGTATATTTTGATTAAAATTGACCAAAATCAGAACATGCTACCCTCTTGATTCAGTTTTGTCAACAAGAGTTGATAAGCTTTGGTGTGCAAGATTATATCCTAAACTCGTGAGCTTTGTCCAAATTATCCAAGGTAATATTTTTGAATGATTCTATTTTGTCTTTATGATCAGTAAGTGGAATCTTGGCCAAAGATGTTCCTAATAATGTCATAGAACATCACTATAGGTAGAACTTTAGTGTTTGGTGTCTTAACGAAGAACATTGGAATATCTTTATCCTTTAAGCCATGTGTAAGAAAAGCAAAACTGTGTACATTTCTTAAAGCTAATATGGAAGGAAATCTCTCATACTAAGTTAACCACATTTGCTTTTGTCCCTGTTAATGTACCCGCATTAGGATTTCAGAGAATAACTTTTTTTTCTTTTTCTTTTTTTCTGATAATTCAATTCTTTTAGCTAACTAGTCATAGGTCTATGCTGCATTCCTATATTTTTCTCTATTTGAAAATTACAGTGAAAATTTGGAGACGGAACCAAGAAAAGTTAAACGAAGATTTAATATACATTACATACTGCTTTCATAACTACAGTAGGCAATTAGTTGTGTCCACAATATTGAAGTGATAAATCTCAATTATTCTTTGGAACCTCAATGCCCATCTTAAGTGGGGAAAAAAATACATACCTTTTCTGGAAGCTGAGGCTTATATTATATCATCAATATTTTACAGAAAAATATATATATGCTTAGGCTTAGGCTTATATTATATCATCAATATTTTACAGAAAAATATATATATGCTTAGGCTTAGGCATATGACACATTTCTCCTTTGACAAAGTTTGAGAGAAGAGCTCCTTTTACCCTTCTAGTATACTTAATTGCTTATACTTACAGAAAACACTTGGGATGAAATCTTAATGCTACCATATGTTTTAGTTAAAATTGTATTGTAATAACTCTAATGTTATGTGAGATCATGCAATATCCTTTTCTGTTCTGCATTAAATTATCGCCCTTTACTTTGTTTTTCTCTATCTATAATACTGCATACAGTGTATATACATCCAAAAATTAGGGCATTTGAGAAAATATTTTTCAACAATCTCAAAGTTCGAGGTACAAGGTTTCCAAAACAAAAATCCACTCCCAAATCTATGAATAAAATACCTGGGCTTCATTATTGGCTTTAAAATGGTTCTTATTGGAGTTTATTAACAAGATCAGAATTTTATTAATCTATATGTACAAATTATATGAATAATTTCAGATTTTGTTTAGGTTGAATAGAAATGGAGGATGAAATGAACTCTGAAGAAATACAAATATTCAAAGACCAAGAGGCTTTTATTGAGAAATACTCCCAAAGAGAAGAGTCCAAGAATAAAGAAACTGAAGATTCACATTCAGGGGAACCAAGTGGTCATGGTGCTAAACACTCTAAAAGGAGTAAAGGGCTGAAATTAACAAAGAAAAGGAAGGAGAAAGAGGAAGTTAGTGAATCTATAGATGAAGGTAAGAGAAAACCTTCTAGAGCTGAATCTTGGGTTTGACAACATTTTACTCAGATCAAAAATCGTGATCCCAATTGGCCTAGGGCAGCATGTAATTGGTGTGGGGTAGATTATGCTTGTCATAAAAAAAGAAATGGGACAAAAAACATGGCTGTTCATTTAGAAGAAAAGTGTCCTAAATTTCCTAAGAAATTACTTGATTGCAAGCAAACTATTATTTCTTTTCAGCCAAGAAGAAAAGAGGAAGGGGAAGGGGGTGGTAGCAATTTAACTGCTATATCTTTTGACATTGATGCATATAGACAAGCTCTTGCTAGGATGATTATTGTGGATGAATTGCCATTTAAGCATGTAGAAGGTGAGGGATTTCGTTATTTCATGAGTGTTGTGCAACCGTTGTTTCCAATTCCTTCAAGAATAACAATGGCTAGAGATTGTTACAAACTTTTCATGCTTGAGAAGAAAAGGTTGAAGGCTGTTTTAGGTGGAGGAACCCAAAGTGTTTGTTTGACTACTGATTGTTGGACTTCTATACAAAATCTGAACTATCTTTGCCTTACTGCACATTTCATTGATAGTGATTGGAAATTGCATAAGAGAATTTTGAATTTTTGTCAAATTGCTAGTCATAAAGGTGAGGTAATTGGTCAAAAAATCGAGAAATGTCTTGCTGAGTGGGGAATTGAAAGGGTTTTTACAATTACAGTTGACAATGCTAGTTCAAATGATGTTGCCATAGCATACTTGAAAAGGCAAATAAATGATTGGAATGGGAGTGTGATGCAAGGGGAATACATGCATGTTAGATGTTGTGCTCATATATTGAATCTTGTGGTGAATGATGGTTTGAAAGACATGCATGAATCAATCCTTAGAATTAGGAATGCTGTTAGATATGTGCGTGCTTCACCTGCCCGTTTACAAAAATTTAAAAAATATGCTGAACTTTCAAAGATTCAAGAGAAGAGCATGGTGCAATTGGATGTTCCCACTAGGTGGAACTCCACTTATCTTATGCTTGAAAGTGCTGTAAAATTTCAAAAGGCTTTTATGAAGATGGCTGAAAGAGATGCTCAATTTATTATAGAATCAGTGATTTCTCCTCCAACAAGTGAAGATTGGGACAATGCACGTCATTTTGTTAAATTTTTGAAAATCTTTTATGATGCTACTCTCAATGTCTCCGGTTCCTTATTTGTCACTTCATCTAATTACTTTCATGAGTTTTGTTTAATCATGAATACCTTGAAGAGTTGGTGTGAAAGTGAAGATATACAATTAAAAAGCATGGCTGAAAAAATGAAAGCAAAGCATGACAAGTATTGGGGTAACTTAAAGAATATGAACATGCTTATATTTATTGCAGCAGTGCTTGATCCTAGATATAAGATGAAATTTGTGGAATGGAGTTTTGGGAAAATCTTTGATAAAGAAGTTGCTAAGAGTATGGTTGAAAAGGTGAAAGAAGTGATTAATAACATGTATGGAAGATACAAGAATTTTTACAGCAATGTTGACAAATCCCAAATTGTTGGTGAACCTTCCGTTTCAAATTTACTAGTGGATGAAGGTTCAGTGAATGGAAAAAACTCATTTCTTATGGAGTTTGACATGGATATGAGTAGGGATGACAGCTTAGATAATAAATCTGAACTGGAACAATATTTTTTAGAGGCTAGAGAGAAGAATATGCCTAAGTTTGACATTCTTTGTTGGTGGAAGGTGAATTCCACTAGATTTCCAGTTCTTGCACAAATAGCTAGAGATGTCTTGGCTGTCCCAATGTCAACTGTTGCCTCAGAATCAGCTTTTAGTACCGGAGGTCGAGTTCTTGATCAATATAGGAGTTCTTTGACTCCAAGAACAGTGGAGGCACTTATTTGTTCCCAAAATTGGTTTCGGTCCAGCCCTTTGTCACTTGACATGGAAGAGGCTGTGGATGATTTTGAGAAAGTGGAGATAGGTAACTAATTCATTAATTTGTTTATGGTTATTAATTTGTAGGATTGGTACTTATTTTCTTCATAAATTTTTGTGGTTAGATGAACTTGGGCCACTCGATGTCTCAGACAATGAGTATTGAATAATTAGGGGGTCAAATTTTTGGTGAGTACTAATCCAAAATCCCTATTCAATTTAAACATCTAATGATACCCTTGTTTTATAGTGATATATTGTTTTGCTTGCTTTATAGTGTTGGTGATGGTGAACATGAAGAGAATGAGGAATCTGGTGACATGAAGCTGTGATCACATCTGCTAACATAAGATATGCTGAATATTGATCTATTGTATTTGATTTTGGATTTGTTACATTAATGGGATTGCTTGGATTTGTAACATTAATGAGATTTTCATGGACAAATTTATTACTTATTTTGCTGAATTCATTTGTCTTTCTAAGATTTGGAATCTCTTGTGTAGTCACATTTAGATTGTATGATCTGTGACAAACTAGAATCAGTTATTTTTGCGTGAGTTGATTTGGCATGGTTGTTATTAAGAGTCTTTCAATATTGGCATTCAATGTTTCTAGTTTTATTCTCTGTTGTGCTTGATTGTTGCTAGTATTTCAAGTGTTGCAATCTTGATGGCATGTTAGATTTGCCTTTGCAGAATAGGGTTAGAGGAGAGGAAGATACTTACTTTCCCTCTCCTTTACTGCTGTTAATTAGATGAGACAGAATCATGTGACTGTATCCGAGTTTCCTTTTTAACATTTGATTGGTTTTGCATCTTCTAGCCTTTGCTACATTGCTACTTGCAATTGATTTGTTGCTCACGTTCCATCTAGGAGTTTCCATTATGCAGGTGTGGGTTCATGTGTTTATTTTTTGGTTTTTTTATTTTTTATAGTCCTTGAAAACTGAGTTAGGAGATGATTTTCCCTATGAAACTTATTATTATTTTACTGTAATGCAATTTGGAGAAATGCTAAAAATAGTAGAACTTATAGAAAGATTGATTGTATGGCTGTTGATAGTTGTTCTTATTTGGCAGTTTGGACTATAATGAATCAGTTCATATTGAAAGTTGTGATCTTAGATTGATGAATTAGATTTATTAGTATGACCATGCATAAGATGCCATTGTATTTTCTTATTCTGATGCAAAATTGGAAGGCCATTTCTTATTTAGTCCTTATTTGCTTTAACGTGCTTGCAGCACTTGAAGTGCTTTGTTTTCTCTCTCATCTCACTTCACTTCAAGATCAAAGCCAATATAGGATAGATAGTATAGTAGTGCTAATTGCATATTGGATTAGAAGAATCTGAGGACTTAAGTAATGATGCATGATAATCAAAGTTGCAAACTGTTGAAGATAGGTAATACAGTTGTATGCTATCTTTCTAGGATCTAACATGTTAGTTTCTGTGTATTTTTTACTATTATTTTTATATCTTGAATTGAAATAAAGATTATTGTGGCAATAGCTGGTGATTGGTTGCAGGGTCCCTGTGTCTACTACCTCTACAGCACGTATGGTTTTGGAAAAGGAGAGATTGGACAGCTTTTTATTGCTGGTTTTGGTTCCTCCATGTTGTTTGGAACAATTGTTGGATCTCTAGCTGATAAACAGTAATACCTCCTTGTATATTTTAGCTATCTTTTTTATGTTGCAAAATGTGTGGTTTTTGATTATGCTCTCTATCAAATTCAGAGGTCGGAAAAAGGCTTGTGTTATTTACTGCATAACTTACGTATTGAGCTGTATCACCAAACATTCACCCAATACCAAATTTAATGGTGGGACGCATATTGGGAGGAATTGCAACATCTCTTATGTTTTATGCATTTGAATCATGGCTAGTTGCATAACATAATAAGGTGAGTGATAGATTTGTTGCATTGAATTACAACATTGTCAATCTTCGCATTGTAATTGTAGGTTTTTCTAAACTGCAAGTTCTGAATATTTTATATCTATGTTCATGGACAAAATTGTTAGTGTAACTGCTGGGTTGATTTGTTCCATATTTTTGGCATTTTGATTTGGTTTGAAGCCTATAATTAAACCAGTAAAAGACTGGCTGATCCAGCAATTATGGCCAGCTAACTGACTTAAAGAATTGTTTACAGCAAATCATAGTTCTTCCACAATGCCCTCTTACATGGATGGCCTATTAAGAATAGCTGTGGAAGAAGATATTTTGATGTTGATTTATTACTTAACTGAAAGTTGTAACTAGGATGCAGTGATTTATACGTGACTTCCCTTTGTTTAATAGGGGAATTTCTCCTTGTGCGTTCTGTTGCATATCCCATGGATTTGCTATTATGTTTATCTTCTATACTCAGCTAATTCCTTGAGTTGTATTTTCTTCCTTGTTTCTGTGCAGAGAGGTTTTGATCAACAATGGCTTTCAATTACCTTTTCCAAGGCAATATTCCTTGGCAATGGCCTCGTTGCCATTATGTCTAGGTTATTTGGAAATTTACTAGTTGATACATTTTCCCTTGGACCTGCTGCTCCATTTGATGCTGCTGCAATTTTTCTTGCAATTGGTATGACAGTAATATTGTCATCCTGGACTGAAAATTATGGTGACCCATCAGAAAACAAGGATTTGCTTACCTAGTTCAAGGGTGCTGCTATAGCCATTGCTTCTGGTTAACATCTAGACTTGCTTCTTCTGTTCTTCCTAATTTTGTTCTTTGACCATAATTAACTCTGAAGTCCACATGGCACATGTAACATAATATATGCTGACTAGAATGTGTTTTGACCAACTCTTTGGCTAGTTTTTGGCAAACTAATGACAGATTTTGGATTCTATGTTGTTCATATGAAATGTTGAGTATATGTTCATGTCATCAGAAGATTTTCTTTTTATATATTTATTGTGGTGTTCCCCTATCTCAGGAGTTGGCCCGTGGGAATTTGAGGGTGCAAAACCGAACCAGACTGCAAGGTCAACCAAACCAAAACCGACTTAGGTCGGTTCGGTTTGATTCAGTTTTTGGAAGGGCAGAACCGATCATGTCCAAAAATGTCTAGGACATGCATGTTCGGTTTGGCTTGGAAAAGGTCCAAAACCGAACCGAACCGAACCCTTGAACACCCCTACTTGGATATATTTACTTTTATCTTCCTTAGATTACACATTTAATCTGAATACATGCCCCTAACCATTGAAATCCAAATTTCCTCTTTAATTTTGAATCTGTATTCTCGATTTTCCGCTGTGGGCTAGAGTAAATTGGTCATAACCTTTTCGAGAAAATTTCAATTCATGCACGGTTTGTTGCATGGAAACTAGACTATATTCAATGCTTGGATTTCTTTGTAATTCTTCGAACAAGTGACCCCTTGAATCTGTCTTCTCGATTCAGCTGCGCAGGCTAGAGTAAATTGGTCATAACTTTTTTTTTTTTTTTTTGTAGACAATTCTAATTCATGCACAATTTGTTGCATTGGAAACTAGACTTTCAGGGCTTTCAGCAATATATAATTTGACCATATTTGATGTTCAAATTTCTTTGTAATTCCCTAAACAAGTGACCCTTTGATTTTTTTTTGTATTTTCTGAATAATAATTGCAACTTTTTTATTGATTATAATGTCCCCATTAATCCATATGGTTTCATTCAGCTCTATCTTGCTGTTGAAAACAATAAATCATTTCCTCTATAGTTTTGCCATTTGTACTTACTTATGCATCTATATTTACTTTGGACCACATATTGTTGACAGCATAGATTATGAAGACCTTGTAGTAAAAGCAAAGTTGAAGCTAGGTTGATTCCGTGGAATCTTGTCTAGCCTTTGTGATAGAGTGATAACAAGGAGCTGGGATGCTTGTGCATGTGCAGTCTTAATAGAATATACTGAGCAGAGTAAAGAAGGCAGCTTTAGTTCTAGATATGGCTCATGGGAAAACTTGCTTTCCGATGTCTGTACTTGACATCAGTATTCAAGTCCATACCACAAACTTATTGATTAAGTTCTGTTTGTGAACTATCACTTCTTCCTTTTACCTTGAATTGGACTAAGAACTTGATTTTGAATTTTGTTAATATTGAACGAAATGAAGTGAGGCTTCAAGTTTGACAAATCATTGGGAGATGATCTTTGATTTGCTCAAAAATTTCATGAAAGAAAATGTGGACTATCTAGCAAAAGTCTTCACAACCAATTATTTATCAGAATTAGAATCTCGCGAAGTTATTTAGTTTTTTGAAGTTAGATGACTGCGTCTGTGAGTTCTTATGAATAAAATATATGGAAGGGTCAGCTTCCTCCTAAAAAATCTACTGAAAATGATGTGTTTACATGCAAAGGTTGTGAAATGAATGCTGAACAGCAAGTTGAAGCCCCTTTTGAATAGCCCAAACATCTACAGTGATATGGCAAAGTGTGATCTACAATGCCTGTTGTAAAAGTTCCCTTGTTCTCCTGGCTTGTAGTCACTAGTAGATAATTTTATGACAAGGAAAAAAAAATGGAATTTGGAATTGGAAATTGGACATTGAATTCAATGATTTCAAAGTCAAATCTCATGTAGTGTTTGGAAAAAAAATAAAATTTGGTATTTACAAAGTTTATTTCGGTATTTGAAAAGAAATTGGATTGGAATTAAAAATAGGATTTTTTATTTTTATACCCTTCTTTTTTGTATAATTTGTAGCAAAAATATTACTACTACTTTATAAAAAAACAAGTTGACTTTACTATTTTCTAACCCAAAAAAAAACTTTTTCTTAGAAATATAAATAATAGAATCTAAAATATTTATGAGTTATTGAACTTGAAATATTTCACACAAATTCAACAATCATCCTATAACAATTATAAATAAATGGAAAACAATTATTACGACAAACTAATTATGAGGTGTTTGGTATTAGAATTTATATAATTTACTTTTGGTGTTGGGATAAAAAGACTGACTTATTATAAAATTTAGTTTTCATAAAAAAATTT